GGAGGTTATGTATTCCTGGATGGTGTTGATAGTAGTAGATGTTCTTTGGTGTCTGGGCATTGAAGAGTTGGGTACTTCCTGTAGTGTTCACAGTCTGAGCTTGTTTGTGCCTATCCTTCTTGGGAAGGGTTTCCAGGTATTCTAAAGCCAATAACACTGTTTTTTGCAGACATAGAGGTCCCACCTTGGTGGTCTTGGATAAGGCAGAGGAATTATCTGGATCACCAGGCAGAGACTCTTGTTCTTTTCCCTTACTTCCAAATAAATGGAGTCTCTCTCTCTCTCTGCTAAACCCCCTGGAACTGGGCGTGTGGTGATGCAAGCACTCTGTGGCCACCACCACTCTGACTGCACTGGGTCAGACCTGAAGCCAGCCCAGCACTGGGTCTTGCCCAGAGCCCTTCCCTTCAGGGCAGTAAGCTCCTTCAGGCCCCAGGCATGTCCAGAGACAGTGTTTGTAAGCCAGGGATTGGAGTCAAATACCTTAGTAGTTTACCTGATGTTCTTTTGTACACAGATAAGCTAGCACTCACACCATAATACAGAGTCCTTCCCCCTCTTCTCTTTTCTTTCCACAGGTAGAGGGCCCTCTCCCTGTGGCCACCACCACCATTGGTTTAGAGGGATTCTGCCAGGCCACCACCAATATTCACTTAAAGCTGAAGCGCTCTTCCATCAGCTTGTGGTGAATCCTGCTTGGCCTGGGACTTACCCTTCAGGGTAGTGGGTCCCCTTCTGGCCCAGGGCAGTTACAGAAATGCTGTTCAAAAGTGTGGGCCTGGGCAGGAAACAGTGACTGCCGCCTGTAATCCCAGCACTTTGGAAGGCCGAGATGGGCGGATTATCTGAGGTTAGGAGTTCGAGACCAGCCTGGCCAACATGGCGAAACCCTGTCTCTACTAAAAGTACAAAAATTAGCCGGGTGTGGTGGTGTGCACCTGTAATCCCAGCTACTTGGGAGGCTGAGGCAGGAGAATTGCTGGAACCCGGGAGCTGGAGGTTGCAGTGAGCCCAGATCACACCACTGCACTCCAACCTCGGCAACAGATAGAGACTCCATCTCAAAAAAAAAGAAAATGTGTAGGCCTGACTTGGGGACCCAAAGAACTTGCTTGTTGCTCTACCTTGCTGTGGCTGAGCTGGTACCTAAGGTGTAAAACAAAGTCCCCTTTACTTTTCTCTCTGCTTTTCTCAAACAAAAGGAGTCTTTCACTGTAGCCACCACAACTGGGAATGTGCTGGGTCACACCTGAAGCCAGCACATCTCAGAGTCTCATCCAAGGCTCATGACGCACTCCTTGGGTATTGCTGCTGGTTATTCAGAGCCCAAGGGCTCTTTAGTCAGCAGGTAATGTATCCTGCCAGGACTGGGTTTTTTCCCTTCAAGGCAATAGGTTCCCTTTTGGCCTAGGTTGGGTCTAGAAATGTTCAGGACCTAGGGCCTGTAATGCGGGCTTCACAACTCTGCCCAGTGCCATGTCCTACTGTGGCTGAGCTGGAATCCAAGGTGTAAGACAGTCCGCTTTACTCTATTCTTTGCTCCTTCAGCAGAAGAAAGGAGTCACTTCTATTGCAGCTGCCTTGGTTTGGGGGATGGATGACGCAAGCACTCCCTTAGCTATGCCAGCTGGTGTCTTCCTAAATCATATGCCACCCTAGTCCACTTACTGTAAGCCCAGCCTAGTGCTAGTAGCCTAGGAATTGCAGTCCTTGTGCCCTAGATTGTCTTTAAAGTTTATCTAGGACCCCAGAGTGCTTCAGCCCATGGTGATGAGGCTTACAGGGAAACTCAGGCTCTGACCACTGGGATAGATGCTTCCTGTCTAGCTAGGGCTCATCCAAATGCTCACTCCGTGTGCTGGCACTGGCTGAGCCCACCATGGCTTTATTCTCCACTGTGACAGGGCAGCACTGAGTTCAATGTAAAGGCCCTCAGTCACTGTGCCCTTCCTTTCTCAAGCGCATAGGTGCTCTCTCCACACCACATGGTTGCTGCAGGGGGGTGAGGGAGGGGTGGCATTGGCAATGTAAGACCATCTTTTCTGCCCTCCTCAATGCCTCTTTTAATGATATGAAGTCGAAACTAGGTACTGTGATTGCTCACCTGATTTTTGGTTCTTGTGACGGTGCTTTTCTGTGTGAAGGTAGTTAAAATTCTGTGTTCTAGCGGGGGAACCAATGATGTAGGCTTCTTTTCCACCATCTACCTGCTCCCATAATCTGATTCTTACTTGGAAATTCTTATAGCTAAATATTTCCTGTCCAGATTCCTTGCAGGATTCTATAGGGAAGATCACTTATCTTTATCATACAACTTTTCACTCTTTTTGTGTGTGTGTGTGTGTTTTTTTTTTTTGAGACGGAGTCTTGCTCTGTCACCAGGCTGGAGTGCAGTGGCGCAATCTTGGCTCACTGCAACCTCCGCCTCCTGGGTTCAAGCGATTCTTCCGCCTTAGCCTCCCAAGTAGCTAGGACTACAGGCGCATGCCACCACACCCGGCTAATTTTTGTGTTTTTAGTAGAGACGGGGTTTCATCATGGCCAGGATAGTCTCGATCTCTTGACCTCGTGATCCGCCCACCTCGGCCTCCCAAAGTGCTGGGATTACAGGCGTGAGCCACCACATCTGGCCAACCTTTCACTCTTAATGTGATAATTCTTATTTACCTCTCTACGAATGAATATTATACAGCTCTGTGACTTCAGGCAAGTTATTTAATCTCTCTGTGTTTCTTTGCTGTTAAATATAAACTGAGTGTTTTGAGGATTAAATGAGGTAATTCTAGCACAGAGTAAGCACTTAGTAAATAATAGCTGTTACTATTCTCTCTCTTCAGCCAGGCTGAGGTCTTAGAGGGCAGTGCCCTCATAGTGTTCTTTGTATCTTCTGCAAGTACTTACCTGAGATGTCCCAGAAATAGTAAAAAATGTTTAATATTGTTTCCTGATTTCTTGAGTCTTACTGGTATGTATAAGATAGAATTTTTTACACTGGGCTTCTTTGGACAAGTTTCCTAAGAGGTGCTTTTTTGTAGTTCAGAAACGTTGAATTCAAATTCCATTTGTAAGTTTTAACTATTTTAGAAAAACAGCAAAAATCTGTGAACTCAAATATTATAAAATAGAATTTTAATTAATAAAGATTATCAGTGTCTTTACAGTTGTTCATGCCTATGATCCCAGCATTTTGGGAGGCTAAGGTGGGAGGATCACTTGAGGCCAGGAGTTTGAGACCAGCCTGGGCAACATAGTGAGACCTTGTCTCTACAAAAAGAATTTTTTTTAATTAGCCAGGTGTGGTTGTGCACACAACCAGAGGAACAGCTCAAGACTCTATCTCCCCTCCCCTTACGGGATACAAATACGTGATGAGGAAAGACGTTCCTTCGCCGCGTTTACTGTGAGAATGAAGACCATTCCAAGCAATCAGACTGTCGACATTCCAGAAAATGTCGACGTTACTATCAAGGGACGCACAGTTATCGTGAAGGGCCCCAGAGGAACCCTGCGGTAGGACCTCAGTCACATCAATGTAGAACTCAGTCTTCTTGGAAAGGAAAAAAAGAGGCTCCGGGTTGACAAATGGAGGGGTAACAGAAAGGAACTGGCCACCGTTCGGACTATTTGTAGTCATGTACAGAACATTATCAAGGCTGTTACACTGGGCTTCCATTACAAGATGAGGTCTGTGTCTGCTCACTTCCCGATCAACGTCGTTATCCAGGAGAATGGGTCTCTTGTTGAAATCCGAAATTTCTTGGGTGAAAAATACATCCGCAGCGTTCAAATGATACCAGGTTTGCTTGTTCAGTTATCTCAAGCCAAGAAAGATGAATTAATCCTTGAAGGAAATGACATTGAGCTTGTTTCAAATTCAGCGGCTTTGATTCAGCAAGCTACAACAGTTAAAAACAAGGATATCCGGAAATTTTTGGATGGCCTCTATGTCTCTGAAAAAGGAACTGTTCAGCAGGCCGATGAGTAAGACCTTAGAGTTGTCCAGCTACAGAAACAAGATGCCTATCATAGCTAAGACCTACTTGTGATATTTAAATGATGCAATAAAAGACTTATTAATTTGGTGGGGGGAAAAAAGGCTCTCTCTCAATTAAAAAAAAAAAAGGACTCTGATTGTATTAATATCTGCTAAATTAATTCATTTTTATGCTTTTCCTATCATCTTTGTAAACTGAAGATGATCCTGATATTAAAGGGCGCGGTGGCTCACGCCTGTAATCCCAGCACTTTGGGAGGCCGAGGCAGGTGGATCACGAGGTCAAGAGATCGAGACCATCCTGGTCAAAATGGTGAAACCCCGTCTCTACTAAAA